TGCGCCCCAGGGTGGCTGTGGCTACAATGTAGCTGCCATCACCAGTGAGTGAATGGGTGGATGACTGGATATGTAAAGTGCTTTGGGGTCCTTAGGGACTAGTAAAGCGCTATATAAATACAGGCCATTTGTCTGATTATTGGGGTTTCCTTCTAATACTGTAGTGACTTTAAAATATAAAGTGCCACGAGGCACTTGTTGTTGTGAATTAGCCCTATATAAATAAAACAGAATTAAATTTCATTTCTTTTCTATCTAATGAATTGACGTTTTTTGTCTTATCCTTTCCTTAAGCTCATTCAACAACCAACAGATTTTAACAGTCAAAGGCCCTCGATACATTGCATTGTCTCTTTTGTTTTGAAGTGCTAATGATCCACAGAACAAAAGACTTGCACTAAATTTCAGCACACAGGATGTAGCAGTGTTGCCAAAGCAAGTGCCACAAATTGGCTCTCACATTCAGGCTTTCATCCACACGGTAGTGTGTGTCTGCATGCAACAAGTATGTAATAGGCTTAACAGATCACAGCTGAAAGATCCTTGGTCAAGAGCCTAAGCCAGTCTTGAAGGCAATTACAAGCACAATGCCTTCACACAACATGTAAGCAAGACGGACAGAAAGAGGATTAGCCGGGGGAGGCGGGGGTGGTGATAGTTAAAGCTGTCATTGTTGAGACTCTCTGCATCGGTCTCGTGTGGAAGCAGAGAGGGGAGATTGATCATTTCAATATCCAAATCAGGATCTGAAAGGCAAGAAACACGGGTAACACACCAGCCCAAAGTTATTTTAGCCCTGACAGGTGATGAGTTTCCCTCAGGCACATACAATAGGCAGACCTGTCAAGCTCTATATCTCATCTCTGTTGCTTGTCAAAGCAATTTTCCCCAACTACAGGTGGGACAGTCAAAAACATTTTCCACATCTGCATTTTGAAAACACCTGCCTTAAAGGTTTATAAATGTAACACTGACATGGTGAAACCTTGAGCAGTATACTAGGATAGGGCAAATACAGGTTAGAGCATTAAAAGGAAGTAAATTACTGTATTCACGTTTTTCTTTCCAAATGGAGCAAATCCTCCAACCTAGTCAAGGCATTCAGCTCAAGCTGCATTGCTTTAGACATGCCTCACTCTCCTGACACGATATACCAAGCATACCCTGTCAATTAGGTGGTCTATTTAAGCAGCAAAATTTCCCATCTCTCTGTCTGACATACTCTGTTAGTGCATTTCTGCCTGCTGTTTCAAAACCCCCCACCTTCAGCATCTGCCTGTCCCTGCACCTCTGAGCTCCATGGGGATATTTACTCATCACTCCCCAATTACTGTATGCATCATAACCGAGGAGCTCGAAGCGCTTGGAGACTACACAGACAAACACAACTATATTCTCCTGTAGTAATAAATAATTTTAAATGCAGTTTGCCCAACTGGACTGACAAAAACCAGCTGAATCAGAGTCTTGAAACAGCCTCCTCATGAACAGTAACCCAATTTTATAAGAAGGCATTTTAAAATTCATAGAGAAGTCAAACTAACTAAAAAAGATTTTTTTTATATCTGCATAATAAAAAAAATGAAAACCAATTTCTGGCAGCACTGTTTAAACATGAGTTGTTTAAATGAAATTCAGTGATGGCTAAACTGCTTGTCTTTCCCTACCTGATGTCATAAACTGGATAAACCGGTGGAAAAATGAGCTCAAGTGCAGAACCCAAACGAGGACCACAGAGAATGATTTTACTTTTACATTCTTTATTTACATGTTCAGTGTTAAGTGTAAAGACAAAGGCACCAAGGGGGTGGCTGGAAATCACTAGATGATGCAGGCTACAGGGGAGAGACAAGAGGTAGATGGATCCCTAGTTGATGCTAGGGATAGTGCTGGCATACATTTATGATAATGTTTTGGTCTTCATTCAAGGAAATTTGCATGGTGGAAAATACTCACTCTAAAGTTCTCAAACTGATCTCCCTGTCGGAGCTCAGTCTGGGGGGAGTTATTTTTTTCTCCTTATCTTTCCTCATGTGGTGCATTTTTCCATTGTTATACCTCTCTGACCTGTCTTCCCCATGTGATGTTTTGTGTAATGTATGTATGGTCGGAGGGTAAGATGGCGCCACCATTGCGTGCAATAGGTCGGCAGCCTTATGAAATTTCCCCTTGTGGGACTAATAAAGGTATATCAATTCAATAAAGTAGCCACATTTCAGAGCACTCCTATCTCTAAAGTTTCAAAAGTAAAATAGGACGCAGAGCTTTCAGCTCTCAGGCTCCTCTCAGCTCCCAGTTTGGATTTGGGAGACAGACATTCTCTTTGCCTTCAAGATTAGGCTTTAACTTTTGATAAAACGTATCATTGAGACTGAATTAGGTGACCCTGATCTTGCTTTTGCTGTACTGCAATAGACTTAGGCTGCTGGGGGTTTCTTCCATTGTCACACAAACCTTCTGCATCCATCACTACATCCAAGCAGCTTCTTTGTGATCCTACTCTTTTCCTTCTGCCTCTAAGCTCTATATCCAGCATCCTTTGTCCTATTTCTTTGTCTCCAAACTGGTCAACCTGAGCCGTCCCCCTGTCCCAGTGAAAATCTTAGCATCTTCCAGCTCGGCCTCCTGTCTTCTTGTCATTGCCACCATCTCTAAACCATACATCATAGCAAGTCTTAGTACAGCCTTCCCTTTCAGTCTTACAGGCTTTATGTTTTATGGATTAAACACAAACGAGGGTTAATTATTGAACATTAAGGGGCTAGTAGGCAGATTTTGTTTATGCTAAGCTAACTGGCTGCTGGCTACAGCCTTACATTTTATGGATAGATGTGACAGCGGTATTAATCATGTTGTGCAATTCTCTGCCAGGGAGGGAATTTTTCTCTAAAGGTATTTAAATTTGTGATTCTAATTCAAGCAGCATGGAGCGAATTATGAATTGCATTGACCAGTGATGGATTAAACATTCTGTAAAATTCAGATTTGAAGGTCATCGGGTTTGAAACAAGCGCAGCATTTTAGAAAACAAAAGATGATGCTTACCTACATCTAGAACCACACAGGACCCAAGTTGCAGAAGCCTCTTCATTTCTTCATAACATGGGCTATAGGGAATTTGAGCCGCAGTGTGTGCCAGTTTGCATCAAACAGTCATTCTGTGTTTTCCACTAATCTCTTTCCAAATGAAAATGAGTTTACTGTCACCTGAGAATAGAGGTGTCCCTTTACTGTGAGGAAAGTTTCTTTTAATTACACAGCACATTGACACACGCAGTTTAGACAAGGACGGAGGGCTTAGATGCTACAAACACACTGAGTGGTGTAGCGCCAGCATGCATCTGGGGATCACTTACGGCCCTGGCTTACAGTAACTACCTCATAATGTTGGAGAGAGACACGGAGACAGAGCAGTGAACACTAGTGCCAGGAAACATTTTCAGACAACAGTTTGGCTGTGTTTTTATCTCCTCTTGTTCTCTGATTCAATGCATCTATGAAGCATTGTTTAAAACAACACGGGGACCAGACTTGTTCTGGACGGTCTGCAGAAGCCGATCTGCCGTTTTTTAAACTGGGTGACACTTTTTGTTCTCATAGATTTGCTGTCTTCATCTTAAAGTGCTGCTCAGATAATTTGATAGTATCACCTTGAGTCTTGAACTGACCTGAATTGCTGTTTATATTCATTTTTTAAAATTATTTACATTTTAGCCTAAGCTGTTAAGAGAAATATAAAATGATTTTATGAAATTACCTGTAGTTTTGTCAGCAATAATGTCCTTTTATGTCCTTGAATAAAAGTGTTTGCAGAAGATGATTGCATCTTATTTAATTTTCTGGTTAAAGACTAGGCCAAACTGATTAATTAACTAAGCACCTCACCATTAATTAGTTGGCAAAAACACTGCTTACTGATCATAACTTAAGATTACTGTACAATAGCTTATGAAGATAATGGTGATAAAATAGGTTGTCCTGAGACGTTAACACAATGAAACAGAAAAGCATAGGAACAGAAAAACAGAAGCCAGAGACATCTATAGGAAAGAGAGGGAAGAGGTAATACAGTAAAAATTTAGGTATGCATGTGCAGTGGATACAGGGGTGATGGCACCACGTACTGAGGCATCCCTCTATAAAGTCTGACAGGATAAAAAGGACTGGCAGGTGAGCTGGCAGACGCTCCCATGAGATATACAGAACTCTTCAATATCTACATTTGCCTTGATCGTCCTGCTCCCCTCGTCCTTAATCTTACCTTCACACCTTTATGTCAGTCTCTCTACCTGTCTGTCTCGCTTTATTCTCTCTGCCTCTCAGCAGGTGCCCACATCAACCCCCAACAGTCTGGCTTTCAGCAAGGCAGCCCCGTGTTCATTTAGAGCTGGTGGTGAGGCTTGCTTCGAGAGGAGAGCAAAGACAGGTGCTCTGAATGTCAACATTTACTCTTTGCCAGCAGAAACACTATTGATTACCCATGATCTAACATGAAGTAGTATAGAGGAACCTTTACTGTCTATGGAAGGGACATGCACCATCAGGCAGGAAGAACTAGCTCCCTCCTGTCACATGGTAGCATTTAATAGGACACACCTCATGCAGAAGGTTAAAATATACAGTAGTGTGTCCTTTCCACAGCAGAGTTTTTGACTTGTTATAGAAGGAAAAGCACTGGTATTTTTATTAAACTGCATCAGTGTGGTATGTTAAAGCCAAGTGGCTTGCATATCTGATCAGTTACACCTGATGCTTTAACATCATTCATGTCATAGATAGATAGATAGATAGATAGATAGATAGATAGATAGATAGATAGATAGATAGATAGATAGATAGATAGATAGATAGATAGATAGATAGATAGATA